AAAAATAAAGTAAAATTTATTTGAAATTAGATTTTGTAAACAGAATCAATCCAATACAGATTGAAAACAATTTGTTGTCACAGTTGTTAAGTGCTTTTCGAAGGGTTACCTTATAAAACCATTTTTAACATMATATATTTATATAAATAATTTCGTCGGGCAATGGACAACTAACTGGCTGAGTGGAAAATGTATATATCTATTGAATTATAGCACACACGGATATGATATGAAATATTAATATGAATTYAAAACCATGAATTTTAGTTTCATATCTGCTCCATCGTAACATCGAAATGTTAAACAGCTGAATCATTGATCGTTTAAAATCGACCCCATCTAGAAGATTGTATGACTGAAGTGTTGGCAATGAGCGGAAGAGAWATTACTGAATACACTTAATCATCAACAACACCCATCAGTAGGTGCATTATATGGGAAAAATAGACGAAAACATCTATGAAAATAAAACCTTATATTTACCACCGATTTTTCACATTCAAAAATCTCAATGATTACATTTTGAACTATAATTATCAAGTACCTAATAGATTTTTATTGGCATTATATTAGATTTCTAATAAAAAATATATTTTTTCAGATTTAAAAAAGGTACTTAGTTACTTATACTTACACAGCACCTGCGTGGCGGCTTATAACAAATGGCTAAATACGATAATACGACCCTATCCCAAAAATTATGACGAATTTGAACGTCTATTATATCATAATAATATATATAATAGTTTTTTTAAACATTTTACCGCTTGCCTATGACATTAATATGATTTACGCCATAAGTAACTGAGGTATTATGCCGGTATAAATATAAATTTCAAAATTTTAGAAATTTCCGAATCAAATTCTTAACTGCTGACTGGTGTAATATGCGACAAAACATGTCTAATTCAAGACGTTTGCAGTTGACAGATATAAACATTATTGATTGATACCTAAAACCAACGATGGTTAAATGTAAACAATATCAACGAATCACTAGACAGTATTATTATATTTTTGTGCAGTTTATAGTCTTAAAATTGTTTACCAACAGTTAACTAAATTATAAAAATAAATAAAAAATATTTTCTCTCATTCAAAACAATATTTGTTTATATTCTTTCCAACTCCCTCAAGTGAAGTTAAAAAGTTGTTTATTCACAAGTAATGCAACTTAACTAGTTAATGGCCGTTCTTGATTAAAGATGTGTACTCTTATTAAGCATCAAAGACATTAATGTAGCTACTAGCTTCTCATTTGAAATTTAATAGGTACCGAAAAGAGCTAACATTAATAGAATTATTAGTCAGACATTCATCATTTTTGTTTTTTTTTTTAATTAGTTACCTTTTTTCTCCATGGATTAAGTTAGCAAAATATATGTTTTATTCTATTTTCTAATCGGTATAGGTATATAATATTATTCACGAATCGAAACATAACATATTTAGGTGCTACCTTAAAAAGTTTTTATTGGAAAATAACAAAAGTAACATGTTATTTTCTGCTGCCAATCTAACTGACATACATATTTTATTAAAACATATATAATTAGTATACGTTCGTTGAATAATTAAACTAATATTCAATTTACTTTAGAATTGTATTAAAAAATAAAAATCGATAAAAATTATTAAAGATTAAAATATTTAAAACCTCATTATTATGGATTAAATGGCTCTAAATTTAAGTGTAAACAATATGAATTTTTCGTAATAAATGTAGACCTGTAGTATTTATAAGGTCATAAATAATGTTTTAAATTATTTGAAATAACCCTTAAAATGTAAATACATAGACATCATTCAAAATGTTTAGAGTTATTGTTCCATAAAATAAATGTAGACTACAATAGGATTATTATGTCGAATTATATACAAAACATGCCAAGAATACATTTATCACAAACTAATGGTCAATGCATATTTTATTTTTATTTTTTTAAATTAATCAAAAGTATTAATAATTATATATCTGAATGTTACCCATAAAATAACTTTTTTGATGATTTTACTTTTGGAAATAAAACTATTATACAACAACATAATTTGAGTTGAATAAGTAATAACAACTAAAGTAGATAGAGAAAATGATACTTTTTTTGAATTTGTGTAAACAATAATGACGCACCATAATATTATTTTGTATTTTATAAAACTAATATTTCATTACCAAAATATATCCTAGGTTTTGGACTTAGTTATAAATATAAATTTCAATACGGATACCTCGTAACGTCATGTTTCTACAAACAGCAGAATACAAATGTATTCCAATAATAAAAAAAGACATGTTCAATAGAAATATGAAATCATAATTTAAATAAATATATATATATATATATATATATATTATCGTTTTTGAACCAATTTATTTTTCTGACACTTCACTTAATATATAATATATATATATATATGTATATGACATAAGTAATGAAAAATACACAGGAGAGTAATCATGAGATTTCGATCTCCGATTGGCGACGAAAACCCACAATTCATTTGCTGTCAGGGATTTGTAAGAAGTCTGTGGTTTGCTTATCGATAACGGCACTTTCACGACTTATCCTCGCATCTCCGTTGATTTCCGTTTTCTTTTTGACTCGTAAAAACGATTTTAACGATTACCTCGCCAATACAAACATATACATTAGTTATATATACATATATATATATCCTGCAGTGTCCACACACGTTAGACAGTGCAAATGTTAAAGCCATGGTTTTCCTTARTATTTTTTTCCACACAAATTCGAACATAATTTGTATTTCGTTTTATTGTGTTAACATTTTTTTTTTTATTGGTGACAAGACTCTACGTGTTATTTTTCCCTCAGCTTTGAACACTAATACTCAAATTTGATTTTTATATACTGTAGAGAAACATTCTGCTTTGGAATATACAGTAAAAAATTAAAAAATTCATAAAAGAAAATATCATTATTTCAAAATTTGATTTTGAGACTACTTTAATTATATAATATGTATATAAAAAAAAATGTCTAAATATTAAAAATTTTAAGAAAATGAGTATACAGTTGACCGTTCAACGGCTTCTGAACTGGACTACACTCGCTTAAACTACTCAGGCACGGTTTACGATATTATATAAATGTGCATCAAGTTTCAAATCTATACAAACAATTATATACACACCAATTATCTGTAGTTAATACTTTTATTTTAATACAAATTTTTAAAGTTTTATTTTCAAACCAACATTTTTGTTTTTAAATATTATAGTAGTTAGAAAACACATAAAATGGTTTACTACGTATCTTTCAAATTCTTCGAAAACAAAAGTGGAAGATACATTCATCCTCACAAGAAAATAATTATAGTTTCTAGTGAATCGTATGCAAAATAAATACCTGTACCTACCATATTTCACTACTTTTCCACGAAAATCTC